TTTGTGTGAGTGTACCGTCAAATCAGATCTGACTGGTACAGGAGGAGATTGTTCCTCCTTTTCCCGGCAGAGCATCTGGTGGATTCGAACCATGTGCCTGTGGGATTGTAGTTGCAGCTCCTTGCCACTAGGCCACCAGAGCTCCCCTCAGCTTGGTTTTATTGTACCTGTGTGAAGTGATACATATTTAAAATTTGGTCTATAATTTTCTATGAAGTAAGCTTAAATGATAATGCAATTTGCAGTCAAAACAGAATCACCCAAACCTTTACTGCAAAAAGGGTATATGCATTATAATCTTATCCCCAGATTTTCCTATGATGCCTGTTTGTTTGTCCTATTTAATAACATGTAATACACTTCCTCAAAATAGTATTACAGAGATTTATATACATCATAGATCAAGCTTTCATTCAAAATGATGCATGTAAACTTATATTCTAATTGTTTATTTTGCTTTTTAATCCTCTTGTCATTGTTTTTGTGTCACTGGAACATGAGAATAGTTGGCATAGTAGTGATAAGGCCATTCATTTTACTTAAGTTGTACTAATTGAAACTCAATGGTTTGAACCCACCCACTGCTCTGCGGCAGGAAGAAAGATAGTCTCCTCCTGTAAAGATTTACAACTTTAGAAACCTTGCAGAAGGTCACTGTGAGTCAGAACTGACTCCAAAGCTGTGGGTTTCATCGGTTCAAGTGCACAAATGTAAAAAAGTTAAAGAATCTCAGCTTTATAAAACTCTGTCTTTTTTTCTCCCCCAATCAGGAAAATGATGAGAAATTGGGCTCCACACTGATGAGCTCGGATGCCACTGAAAAACCTTTATGTACAAAACCTACAAATATTGAGACCATAAATTTTAATAAAAGGGAACTTGAGTTAGCCCTTTCACCCATTCACTCCAGCAGTAGTGTTCCTGACCCAGGAAGCTCATGGGTTAACACTGCTGGAAAAGATTCTTGGGAAGCAAGAGAACTGGATATAAATAATATACCCACTGACACAAAACAGTTAGATTTTTACAAGTCAAATCAGTGGAATGTGGATTCTGGTAACATGCCTGAAGAGCACCTTGGGAAAAAGAGTTTAAAAAGAAATTTTGAGTTAATTGATTCTAGTCCTTGTCAGGAAATTATACAGAATAAAAAAAACTGTGTCAATTATGAGCATAGTAATGAACTAGGTTGTTATGCAAATCAGAGCACAGGCTTAACAACTGAAGTCCAGGAACTTAAGATCTCAGGATGCAGAAGTGAGCAGGATGACTGTGGTAATAAGGAAAATGTCCCTGCTTTTCTGGATAAACAACAAACAGCAGAAAAATCACCAGTTCCAATGATAGCCAAAAACCTTCTTTGTGAACTGGATGAAGACTGTGAAAAGAACAGTAAGAAAGATGACTTAAGTTCTAGTTTCCTGTGTTCTGATGATGACAGAGCTCCTAAAAGTATGTGTGTGGATTCTGATTCATCTTTTCCTGGGATTTCCATAATGGAAAGTTCATTAGAAAAGCAGTCCTTGGATACAGACACAAGCATCAAAGAAATTTCCTTAGAAGAATCAAATCTCACACACCTATTGACTGCATCACCAAGCTATCAAGAAAATGCCTTGCTGGAAGATGATGAGAATCCTGCTATCCAAGACAAGGAGACAAAAATGTTACCTCCTTCTTCAGAAACACTGAAAACATTAACCCTCTCAAAGAGAAATACTGTAGCTTTTCGAAGTTTTAACCACCATATTAATGCATCAAATAACTCAGAACCATCCAAAATGAGCATTACTTCGTTAGATGCAATGGATATTTCATGTGCTTATAGTGATTCGTATCCCATGACTATCACCCCTACTCAGAAAATAAGATCGTATAGACCATATCAGGTATGTTACAACTTTTCTGATACTTTATTCTTTGGATTTGAAGAAATAAACTATTATGGCTGAAACTAGACTGTGCCTTACATCATATAATTTTGTTTCCTTTGTTAAGAATCTATGGATTTGAGGAGTTTTCAGTGCATAATGTTGGTAGTAATTAAGTACAATGCCTTCTTCTATTTGCATAGCTCCATACACTTAACTGAGAAAATGCAATCATATATTTCCACTTAATCCCAGCAACGCTATGTGATACAAAATTAAGACTACCTCATTGTCTTTTAAGGACTTATTTAGATGATCTCTTTATAGAAAATTTTTAGAATATATTAAAATCCACAGTTCCTGTTTTTTTCCTTTAGAGAAACACTGTTTTTTGTTGTTGTTATGTGCTGTTGAGTAGCTTGCGACTCATAGCGACCCTATGGACAACAGCCCTAAACTCTGCTCTGTGCTGTGCCAGTCGCACTGTCTCCGATACACCCATCCCGATTACCCCAGTCACTGAATCAGTCCACCTCATAGAGGGCCTTCCCCTCCTGCGCTGTCCCTCCACCCTACTAAGCATGATGTCCCTCTCCAAGGACCGGTCCCTCCGTACAACATGTCCAAAGTATGTTAGACAGAGCCTCAGAATCCTTGCCTCCAAAGAGCCACCAGTTTAACCCTTTCCAGGATGAATCTGTTTTCCTAGCAGTCCATGGTACCCTCAATACTCTTCTCCAGCACCACAGCTCAAAGGCATCAATTCTCCTTCTATCCTCCCTCGTCATTGT